TCTTTGCAACTTCAGGGATCTTATCTATGCACAATCAGCTTGTAACACTCCAAAGAGAAAGGAAAACTTGAAATCGCATCATATGACCCCTTTAAAACCGCATGTCTGGTTCTAGAGAAATCAGCACTAGGTGGCAGTAATTCACCTTGTCAAATGGCACGTTCCACTGAACTGAATACATGGAATTGTTACTGTTTTTGAAAGAAGTCTCTTCTGCTCACCAAGGCTGCATTTAATTGATCAGAAATACTGTAAAAATAGTAAAACTGTGAAATATTATTGCCATTTCAAATAACGGTTTTCTATTTCAATATATTTAAAAATGTATTTTATTCATGTGAGTCAAAGCTGAATTTTCAGCATCATTACTCCAGTCTTCGGTGTCACATGATCCTTCAGAAATCATTCTAATATGCTGATTTGCTGCTCAAGAAACATTTACTATTATCAATGTTGAAAACAGTTTTGCAACTTCATATTTTTCTGGAAATAAATTCTAAAAATTCTATGAAAAAAAATTCTAAAATTCTAAAAACTATTTAAAATAGAAACCTATTGTAAACATTTTAAAACGTTTTTACTTTTACTTTCGATCAATTTATTGCACTTCTGATTAATGAAAGTATTAATTAAAAAACATAATACTAAAATAAATCTTACTGATCCCAAACTTTTCAATGGTAGCATATTAGCGCATAGCTAAAAAATATAAATCACAGCAAAAAACTGTAGTCTAGATGCACTGCAAGAATATTTGATTAAGGTTTATGTATAAATTCATGTTGTCCATAATGAACCTTGTGTTTAAAATATGATGATCAGATCATAATTATTGGCTATGTTGAGAAAGGAACACCAACACATTGTTTAATGAATACTGAATACTGCTTTGTTTTCAACTACTATGTGAAACAGCATTTTAAAAAGTAGTATGAAACAGTAAAGTCACATGACCTTATTACGTATTCAGCAAGTGATGTTCATTTAACAGTTTCAAAATTAAATTGGTTATTTTACATTTTCATCCTGTTTTGTGTCAAATTACTTTGCATTTTAACATTGCAAATTTATGCTTCAAAAAATTAAGAACAAACATGCTTTATTCATTCATTCATTCGTTACACTGGAAATGAAAGGTCATGTCGAGCACATTGCATTGTGGGATACTGTTTTCATTAAAGTTCGCCCTGGATATATTTAGACAAATGCAGTAGGTTGTAGTAAGAGGCGTATGCTAGTACTATACAGTATTTCAAACATAGTCATTCACTTCCAAATTATGATTTAATTTTAGACAAAACAGCTGTTGTGAATGTCACATTGAGTTTAAATGTGAGTATGCACTTCCTCATTCTTGTACAGGCTCACTGTGCCCCAGGCCTACACACTAAAATCATCCTTTTTTTCCCCACTGATCTCTCTCAGTCTCTGAATCAGGGGTTAGAAGTAAGTGCAAGACTATTTCTACTGCTATTTCTGCAGTTTGCAAACTGTATGCAGAATGCATAGTTTTATAAATCATACAGTTACTTTTACACAGCGTTTACAAAATGTACAGTTTCAAAGCAGCTTTACAAACAAGTATCGCAGTACTGATATCTGATATTTAGTATACACTGAGTTTCTCCAGACTTCAGTTTTGTGCCACGCTCCAGTGCAAAAAGCTTGTCCTATTTGTTTTCTTTATTTTACAAAAGCACAAGCACAATGATATTGTAAGCATACACAAATAAAATGAGTCCCTTCAGTTTAGAATGATGTATTACTCTTATCTGTATGAGCAAAAATAACAGCGTATTTTGTTTCCATTCTCATCAGGAAAAATGCCAGTGAACGTGCCGATGTCATGCAGTAACAAAATGAATCGAATTTGGATATACGCCAAATAATGCACATTTATCTTGGGTAACGGCTGTGTAAAGTTGCTACTATTTACACGTTTCAACGATAAGTCATGTTTGAGGTCGATGAATGATAGGTGAATGTTTGGATTTCCTGCCTGTTACAGACATGAATGTTTTTTTTTGCTGCAACTAACCGTCTAATTTTAGTTGACTATTATGGGGGCAGTCATAAAATACATTATGAAAATAACATATATAAAGCATGAAAATAAAATACTAATTCTAAAATACTAATTCTAAAATTAACCATTTTGTTTAAACAGATTTAAATTAAAATAAATTTGACCTTCAAAAATCATTTAAACCATAAGTCACATCAAGTGTGATTTATTTTAATTTCTTCTTAAAGGGGACATATGATGCGATTTCAATTTTCCCTTTCTCTTTGGAGTGTTACAAGCTTTTGGTGCATAAAAAAAGATCTGTAAAATTACAAAGACTAAAGTCTCAAATCCAAAGAGATATTCTTTATAAAAGTTCAGCGTTAACCATGCCTACCTAAAACAGCTCGTTCTAACACGCCCCCACATACCTACGTCACTATCTGGGAAGATTTGCATAATGCCGCCCAAATGTTCACGCAAAGAAAGAAGGCGTAACTTTTATTCTCGCTGTAGTATTGTTGTTGCCGCCGCCATGTCGTGAAGGCGCTGTGAGTTTCGTTGTGAAAGCGAAACTACTTTGTTTGGTCTTCCAAAAGAGGACGATATCTGCTTCGTCATGCCTGGAGCTGATCCGTGCTGGTTGCTGAGGGAATAATGTTCTTTTTAGCAACATCATATGACCCCTTTAATATTTTAAGTCATTATTTGATGTTTTGTGTATTCTTCATTTGTAAGTTGCTTTGGTTAGATGTAAATGTAAATAACCATTTTTATGTATGTGTTACGAGCCCCTGCTCTGTCTTTCCTTTTTTTCTTTCCTGAGTACAGCTGCTAATTGGATGGGGGCGGATAGGTAGTGAACACTGCTCAGTATGCAGTTTTTCCTTCTGAATGTGGTCCACGTGTTTTACAGTAACGCACAGAAATATTTGAAATATAATATTTGCACACATTTCTAATCTCAGAGGCCACCGAGCAGCAATTGAACGGGACTAATGTGATGAGTGTGGAAGCAGAAGTAGAGGATCAGATGTGGGTTTGTTAACTGATGGCCGGTTAGGAGCCATTACAGTCACGCCATCAATCACTCGTGACCTCATTAGAGACCTGTAACAGTATTTACAGAGGAATATCACTGCACACTCACTGACCACACGCTGTCATGTCATCTGTAATCTCACTGAGAACACAGCCTTTCAAGAAACAAACACACCTTGAGATTACTCTTTCTGCCTTGCTTTTGTATATAATCATAGATGTAATCTAGTTGGTTCATTTTGTGGATTATGACTGAAAAAATAAATCGGCATAAAAATAAAATGAAAGTTTTGGATTTTTTAAAATGTTTTTGAAAATAGTCTCTTATGCTCACCAAAGCTGCATTTATTTGATTAAGAATACAGACAAAAATTGTAAAATATTAATAGAATTTAAAAAGCAGTTTTGTATTTGAATACATTTTAAAATGTAATTTATTTCTGTGATGCAAAGCTGAATTTTAAGCATCATTACTCCAGTCTTCAGTGTCACATGGCCCTTCAGAAATCATTCTAATATGCTGTTGGCAGGACATTGCTAGGTGGTTGTTAAGGTGTTCTGAACGGTTGCTAACCATAAAAACCATAGGAACCAACATAATGACAGTTTTCAATCCAAACAAGTTTCCAAAACCCTCCACTTCTCTGCCATTGGTCAGATATATACACAGATATTAACGCCTCAAACTCATGCAATTGGTTGAGCCAAAAGCTAACATGTCAGGTGGTTCAAACAAACAGATCAGTGTCACAGTGTTTACACAACAGGGAAATAAACATGCAAAAGGTCTATGTTATTTCTGCATATTAAGCTGTGACAGGAGGAAGTATTGCAACTTAGGAAAACAGATACACTTCACCTTTAAATCCAGATCAAAGGCTCGTCATATTCAAATGATTTGTTGCTGTTTTAGTTTTCATTGTTACGTCCATAGAGACCACCAAGCAGATTTACAGGCCAAAACATGTTTTAACGTTAAAAACATATCAGAATGCCATCTGCTTATTCAGCATCACAGACTGTAAACACAAGCCACTGCAGTGTTTTGAGTCTGTGGCAGGTTCATAACGGATTTCTACTGTTTTGAAAGCACATAAATAATGTGTGCACTGTAGTTTTGACACATCAAATGTGAAGGCTGAGAACTGAGAGAAGCAAGTGTGAAAAAAGCTGTGATATTCAATGTTTGTCATGGGCTCTTGCTTTCCTTTAGTACTGTATTGTGTATGTGAGAAGTATCAAGGGTTTCACAAGCACGTTTTTAGTGCACATCTCCCCTGCTGATGCAGATCAGAAAAGCTCATGCAGTCTTACGCTAAGTCAAGCCAGATACTTGACTCTTGTTCATACTTAGGATTAATCATTTAAACAAACTCCTAATTCTTAATGTTAAAGTTTGGCATTTAACTTACTGTACACTGTTAGCTTCAAACTGTTGCTGTACATCAAATCATGCAACTCACATTTATGTTTATGCATTTGGACGA